CATATGGGTGTTGAGAGAGGTATCCATAGATCTCTTCATTTTGCTCTCAAAGTGCACCAGATTGATGCTTTTAACTTCAATATTTAAAAAAAAATCTTCACGGGGGAGCATCCCCCCGGACCCCCCTAGAGGAGGTGAGCTCCCCACTCATAAAAAATACCACTTTACCCCTGCCTATATGCCGTGAGCTGATTATCGAGCCTTCATTGTAACAGTCGCGGGTGTACTGTGTGTGTGCGTGTGGGGAGTGTTGCAGTGAAAAATGCCACTGTAGTGCCGCCGCCACTGTGGGCTAAGCCCCGAATGTTTTCAGGTCCAGGCGACGCCCCTGGTTGTTGCACTTCAATTGAAGTTCAGCAGGTTTCAAAAAGGAAGGAGATGTCTTTTTGCTTTTTTAAGAAAACTTTATTTTAAATAGTTTGAACAATACATATAAAAACACTGCATTGAAAATACACATAATACATAAATGAGTAATTAGTCATAATGTCCTTGGAGGGAGAGGTGCTCAATGACTGAGATGTCCTAATTTTAATTTGTAAAACTTGTAAATAAATAAATGAAAAGGTATTTTTAAACTTGAATATCTCTGACTGTTTATTCCTTGCTTTTGACAACTTCATAACATCTCTTTACCTTCATATCAAGCATGCAGCCAGCAGGGGGTGTCAAAGAGTATTTGGGGTGGGGGGATCTGGGTGGTTGGTACACTGGCTTTAATTGATCCGAGGGGCTCTGATCTGATTGGATGACGGGCTCCGGCCCCCCAACTGAGACCTTCTCAACCCAGAAGATCCACTGGGGATCACGGTGTGATGAATGCGGCAGGCCTGCTCAGTCTCACTTAGTCTTACTTAGAGTCCCGCCCCTCCCGTTCATTTATATGGCATTCTGGTTTTCATCTTGTGGTCCACCCATTGGTTGTCCGATTTAGTTCTAGTACTCTGACCGGCTTTTGAAAAGGTAAGATAAACTCTGCTATTACTCTTAACAAGACAGTCCCTTATAATGTAGTATAACAGTAGATGAATGCCAATGTGTTGTCTTTTAACGTTTGCGCATATTTGCATTGGTAAAAAGTTGTCGCTAAGCCAGAAACACACGGGAGTTTTCCGACCGTTTGAATCCGTAAATACTTGTCATTTAATGCTTATTACTATGCGCTAACGTTTATGACGTTAACATTTATATGCACCATTCGTGATTAAAAGTTGCCACTCCGCCATGTACAGTCTTGCAGTAGGCTACGTCAACATGCATTTCTCCCGTACTTTACTAGACGCAAACACGTTATGCTTTTTTACTTTGCACTAACGTAAATGTTCATGAAGTTAATGCTCACATCCGTTCACAGATGTGGACGGAGGGTTAACGGTCATAGACACTTGGCTATTTAACGAAGTACTGTAATAACTTTAAATGTAATTCGTATTTACTATGTGGTAGTGTACTAAAGTTAACATGTATATGAAGGCTACCATAGGGCGAATATTATTATTATAATATAATAAGTATCATTCATTTAAAGTCAGACCTCTGAGGTTAATGTTGAGCTGATGGAAAATAAATCAATAATTTTAAATCAGAACCAGCTTTTACTCACGTTATTTTTCTTATTTCTATTCAGACTGTTACTACATGTTTATTCTTATTTCATATTCACGTAAGGCCATGTGTGACTAGCTGTAGAAACACTTGATGTGATATTAATCTAACTGTTGCCTCTCAATCTCAATGTCAGTTCAGTGTGTAGTGTGAAGCTGCAGCTCAGTGACCTGTGTGTGTGTTGCAGCTGCTCCTGCCGGCAGCCTGGATGAGCAGCCTCCCTGCAGAGCAGCACGAGTGGGTCAGCAGGGCTCTGTTTGTGGCTGACAAAGAAGGGAGGCCCGTCCTGTCCCCGGAGTTCCAGCTGTGGCACCACCCCCCCGGCCCCTGGCCGAAGTACTCCCAGCGAGTGCCGTTCACTGCCTAGAAATGGACCATAAAGCCCTTACAGAACATTGCCAAGGGATCAATGCAGCTATCACCAAGCCAGAGGCGGATGTCATTGAGAAGGCCACAAAAACACAGGCCAAATCCAAACTCTGGTATCGATACAGAGCTGGGCGGATTACAGCATCTCGTATGAAGGCAGCATGTTCAACAAGTGCAACTAAACCATCGCTTAGCTTGATTAAAGCTATTTGTTACCCGGAAGCCACAACATTTAAAACTGCAGCTACTGAATGGGGATGTAATCACGAGAAATCAGCACGTGAAGATTACATTGCAATTATGAACCGACATGGCGGTTTCATTTGCCAGGACTCTGGGCTCGTGTTATCGCCAACATTTCCATATTTAGGTGCTACTCCAGATGGTGTTGTGTCCTGCAAGTGCTGTGGTGTAGGTGTTTTGGAAATGAAATGCCCCTACTGTGTTGCTGCACCATCAGACCATACATGCCTGGAATCACGTGATGGACAGGACAGGCTGAAGAAGACCCATGCCTATTTTTGTACAGGTGCAGACCCAGTTATTTCTATGTGATGTTGAATATGCTGACTTTGTTCTGTGGGTGAATGGAAAGATTCATCTTGAACGCATAACCCCAGATATTGACTTTTGGGAGAAGGTATACCCCAAAGCTCATGAATCTTTTCAGAAGGTCATTCTCCTCGAGTTGAGTGGGCAATTCTTCACCAGAATTTCCAGTGCAACTACACCAGTCTCCATTAGTGCACCAAAAAGGCCTCTGTGCCTGATACCAGACCCCGCTCTATGTTCCACTCTGACTCAGCCAACCAATACCCAACCACTGATACCCAAATGGTGCCTTTGTCGTGGAGAGGAAAAGCTTCCCATGATAGGATGTGATAACACAAATTGTGAAACTACCTGGTTTCATTTTGAACGTGTTGGTATAACAGTTGCCCCCAAAGGAAGCTGGTATTGTGACAAATGTCATCAGTATGCCCCCTCTCAAAAGAAACAGAAGTACTAATCGATCTGAATGACAGTGTGTTTATTTATTTGATTCAACATGTTTCTTTTACATCAAATCTATATAAAGAACATGTAAGTGTAACAATCAAAAAAAGTTGTGCACACTAAAATGACACAAAAAGCATCATTATTTAAACTCAAAGAGCAAAACCTCAGCTCAAATCTCCAAAACTCTTAACACATGTTCAGCTCTGCACCCAATTTGCAATTCTACTTTCCACCTTTTGAAAAGTTTCTGCACATATTGTTTTGTAGACTTGAACAATCTTTACTTGCTGAATTCTCTATATCAAACGCCATAAAAGATGAGTGTGCTTGAGCACGATGGTGTGTAGTTGGTTTTACAAAATGTCTTGTGCTATGAATGAAGTGTGTGCCATTTGGTGCAAAGGTTTGGTTTTGGTAAGTGTTCATGTAGTTTTGGGTGTTTTGCACTTTGTGTGTATGGTTTTGTGAAATGTGTTTAGTGTTTTGAGAAAATAAGCCCTGCTTTCAAAAAAAGTGTTTTAGCTTTGAAAAAACTGTAATATGGACATAATGTGAATCTGTCTCTGTTATGTGAGGTGATCTCTGCAGCGTACAGTTCAAGGAGCATGTACTTGTTGTTCACCCTTTTTCAACGGGTAACTTGGAAACCTGTAATAAATATTATACTTTGCCCTTTCAATTGTTTTTTTCAAAAATGAATTTACCCAAGCTTAAATATTCTACCAGTACTATTACAGTGTGCAGTGCAGGTCTGAACCCGTCAAGCGATTTGGGATGTGTCCAATCTGACAATAGAAAACTTGAGAGAAAAACATATTAATCTTCCATGCCTGAAAATAGCTTAAATAATTTATAACACAACCAAACCCCAAATCACTGCTCTGATTATCAAAACATTTAATTTACCAAGTACAACATTGACAATAATGCAATAATAATTATAATACAAACATGTCATATTTTTAAATCTGATATTGATTGGGGTGTAACAGAATGTAAAGGTTTAATCAACGGGTATTACAGTATCACACAAATGATTAAGGTCACAGCACACTTCAGCTATTTTATCCATCAATGTAATCTACATCTTTAGAAAGTAAAACATCTATAGGAATTGGTCCTCCCAAAATGGTATATCGCTGCCTTACACATCCTATGACACGCTCAACATGAATTTGCACGTTAGCAATTTTCCTTGTGTCAATAACATCTTTCATTGACATCGTTTCCGGCCTTTCATGAATGCAGGCCCCTTAACCTCAGCACACATGAAACCCACTGAGTCACTTATATTGAAACCTCGGTCTGCCAAAATCAAATCACCAGGCAAAAAGTTATCTAAGAAGCCACCATTTTCTGTAATATGCTTATCACTGGACCTGCCACCCCATGCCCTTGAAATGAATGATATAACACCCTGCGGACAGATTCTCCCGAGATGGCCACTTCAAAAGGAAACTCATACGTTTGAACATGACGTCGATAATCAAGGTAAACACACGGGATACTGTAGACGTGGATGTGTTGAATTTATAAGCCAGCTCTGGCAGGGGTTGGTTTAATCTTAATTTCATTAGTGTCAGTATAAACTGTTGAAATGTAGACAGTGAACTCTTAGCGTTCACACTGATGTGCAGTTCCACAAGATTGTATACCATCATTAGATTGGCAAAAGTAGGAAGTCCTGTGTAGAACCGCACACGGTCATCATCGCCCTTAAATGTACTCTCTGAAATGGTGGACTTTACAAGCTTTTCTTTTAAGTTAACATTTTCTGTTGTTACATTATTAATTTAAAATGACATTTTGTCAATCATTTCACCAGTCAAGTCAGTCTGAGTTGCAGTGCCAGAGTCTCTGGTTCAATCAGTCCTCCTTCTTCCCCAGTGGCTCCCAGGACTGGTGCGGGCTCTTCTAGAGATGGTATATCAGATACCATGCTGTAGAGATCAAGTAGTGCGATGGATGACCTTTTTCTGGCGCGTTTATACCTGGCATGTGTAGCAGGGGAAGGTGCTGTAATTTTCTCGTGGCCCAATTTGACAGACGGTGCCCAGTCAGGATGATTTTTGTCAAAAAGTGCCACTGGTTTACCTGCAAATACATCAGATTGTAGGTTAGTTATATCCTGGGTGAACTGTTAATTAATACAAATTTGACCTCTTTTGACAGGACAAGTCAGACTTTAGATATATTTAAAATGCTGGTGTCAAGACATAGGAACATGACAAATAATTGAGTAAACCAAAAGCCTCTGAAAAGGTGCCAGGGACTGTCCAGCCTTTACTGTTTACATATAATCAAATGGCCAGTAGGGGGAGGCATTACTTTAAATGATAGTTAGACGAAGCACTGGCTACAGCAGGGGATTGACAGACTGGTGTGAAGGTGACCTGAGCCAAGGGATGACTTTACTTTGTAGATACTCCACCATCTTTTTTTTTAACATTTATATTTTATTAAACATTTTCAAAAGACAAAAGCACACGGACAAGGACATGGCTCACACACATTACAAGTAGGACAGGACATAACATGAAGGGTGGGGGGGTAGGGGGATTACAGTGTCAGTTACATTTGATGTATGCATATGGCGTTGTATTTATACATGATTTGCTTCATAATATAGGTATACTTCATTGTTTAATAGGTAAATAAATAGATAAATAGTCAAATAAATAAATACATATATATATATATATATATATATATATATATATATGCACACATATGTACATATACACACACCTCTTTCTTTTATGATTAATTCACCTATTCATCCATTTCCCATTTAATTTAGCTTCTTTCATTATTATTACCGTTACTGTTTCTTCATAGCTTATTTCTCTTTATTTATTAATATTATTAATTAATATTATTATATTTATTGTTGGCAGCCGAGATGGTTTGAGTCCAGAGGCCTGTACTACGAAGCTGGTTCAACCTAACCTGGATATGTTGGAGTTAGCCGGTTGGCCCAATCCAAAACATGCGCGCTCTGGCTAAGCTGTACTACGACGCTGGTTATCAAGTGGATCGCTCAAGCCAGCCGTGTCCTATCTAGTTAGGTGCGCGTTCACATGAAAGGGGTGGTATTTGGAGCATTCGACCAATCACAAACATGGAGAAGCGTACTGACAGCGCAGTGTCATACTTCCTGAATGAAAAGTGAACTTTAATATTAGTCAAATATGAAGAAGTTAAACTTTAAACATCCATGACTTAAACACTTTATCCAGGATCAAAGCCACATAGCTGCACCTGCAAGGTGAATACAGCTGGTAAAAGAAAAAGTGTTTGAATGCGTACATTAACAGGTTTATGAAATCACTGCCCCGTCCAAGACACGAGTGGATCTGACTTTAATTACATTTGACTCAAGTGTTTCGTCAACTTAATGTGTTGCTTAAAATAATACTTCTGCATACAGTATGTGACACTGTGAGTGTTGCACGGCCAGATACGGCTCAGCTGACTCAGATAAGGAAATATATGATACATTATGATGTGATATGATATGAATGATAATGGGACACATCGACGTCTGCACTCACAGTGCCGCGGACTGTACTTAATGTTACTCTGATCCGGTTACTTATGTTGTGGCAGATATTTAAGTAAGCTTTCTTAACGCTAATGTTATAATAGTCAGATTGCTCTGAAGATGGGAGGGGATATTCTATTAATTTTCACGTTCACACAGTCAATTGATTTTGGCCGGCAGTCTTTCCTGCAACGGCAGTTTTTCTGTATTTCCTCTATCCTGTAATATGACTTGATAGCTTTAAACTCCGCACACGGAGCTCTGATTGGTCAGCAGGCGGTGCTTTCACTGAGTTGATCTCTTAGCCTGCAACCTAACCTCCTCCCGAGGAGGTTAGCCGCTCAGCATAAGTTACCATGGAGATCTAGCCTGCTAAAAAGAGAACCAGCGTCGTAGGACCGGAAAGCCCGAGATTTCCCTGAAGTTAGCCGGCTAAGCGAAAATCCAGCTTCGTAGTACAGGCCTCTGGAAAGCCCTTATCTTACCCCAAAGCCTGTTGTCTGGCTTAACCAAATATAACAGGGAGAAAGCAGCTTCTCCCATACTTCAGATGTTTAGGAAGTCCTCCAGCCATCTATTGAAATTGAAGCAGTTGGGCTTTCTGACTTTCCAGTTCATAAGAACGAGGCGTTTAGTTGAAAGGCATGCTAGGGCTATAAGTTTACTTGCAAATGTTGATGTTATGCCATTGAGCGGGGATCCCAGCAAGCATGTAGCTGGAGTTAAGAGTATCTCTATGTTCAGAAGCTCAGCGAGAGTATCTCCAACTACGTCCCATAGAGATTTTACAGCCGGACAGGACCAAAGACAATGTCAAAGGGTACCCACTTCCGCACAACCATGCCAGCATAGGCCCGTGAGTGTTTGATCCATCTTTTTGAGTCTACAGGGTGTGATGTATGCTCTGTGAAGGATTTTTAACTGTATTACTCTAAACCGGACACACTTGGAGATTGATGTCGAGTTCGACCAGATTCTGTCCCACTCAACTGGGCTAAGGGTGATGCCTAAATCCTGCTCCCATCTTTTCTGTGACTGCAGATTAGTATTGGCGGTTGAGGTGAGGAGAAGTTTATAAACTTTATATATACCTGAATTCATTCCTTTCTTGTTTGCAAGTCTTTTTAGGTTCATATCAAGGTGTTCATGACAACCTATCTTTATACCTTTTGATGTTAAGTTTTTAATATTTGATTGTAATTGCATATAGGAGAGGAAGAGGGATTTATTCAGATTCAAATGTTCCATCAACACTGTGAACGGAGTTATGATATTGTTTTTTACTATTTGCCCAATGTGTTGTATGTCATGTGCTTGCATATTGGATTCCTATTTCCTTGTTAAGATACATGTCTTAGTACGTGGGTTATATGTTCATTTTGAATGTTTGTATGTAAAACCCGACACTTACCTGACGTGAAATGATCCCCACAAACGCGAGTATAGTTGTGGTTGGATGGTTTGAGATCCTCCCGTCCGATCCTAATGAGCCATTTTTCCCGGCGACGCTTCAAATGTTCGTGTGTTGCTTCAATCTGGTGTGTTATAACCGCCGGCAGCCTGTAAAATGACTTCGGCCCCTTGTTTCGATCACCTCTGTTGCCGCAGCCAACAATGGCACAGAAGTTAACCATTGTATGTCCGGAAAAAAAAGATATGATTGAACAGGTATGACGTATTACGCTGTCTGTTTTGGTACTCCAGTATGGCCGTTGCGCTGACGTCACGTTACCCGTGACGTCATATGCAAAGCCTCTATAGGAAGAGGAAGGCGGCGGAGGCTGATGCTGCAAGGGGTGGGCCGCCGCCCTGGAGCAAAGCCCGCCATTTTATTTTATTTATATTTAGCAAATGCGAGCGAAACTCGGTGTAAATGTGTATATACTATGGTGCAAACACATTATAACTCCTAATTATCCTGGGATAAATTGCCTCTTTATATAACTTTGAACTCTTGGAAGCCTGGGCTCAAGCAAAGTCACCAACCAGTCAATTGTGTATTTATATTTGTATTAAATATGCATGTTTATATATATATATATATATATATATATATATATATGTTTACTGTCAATCTGATATTTTAATGGTAACTGTTGTATTCTACTCAGCCATAGCAGCTGTTGCTATGACAACTTTGGTCTATCCCGTAGTAACCAGGTAATTAGGGTCTGAGACCTAGGTCGGCGAAGACCCTATTGAAATCGGTCACACAGTGACCGATAAACCTTTGACCCCCGCAACATATGTGAAAACTCACCAAATGTTGCACGCGCATCAGAAGTGGTGCAACTTCAGATGTGTAATTGGTTCCGGAACTTTCCGTCAAAAATTGCGTAGGCCACGCCCACTTCCGTTTTTAACGTAAACTCCCCCTACTTTAACTTTCACGTAAACGAACGAAACTCGCTACGCATATCTAGGGTGCGGAGACAAACCAAAAGGCCTCTTGGAGGTGTATAAAATAACGTACAGGAAGCCGGCCATTTTGAATTTGGCGTCGGAAAAACGCGATTTATCGCGTTTTTCGTCCTCCGCACGAAATCTATCTTCTCCCAGGGACTTTATCCGTACGACTCGAAATTCGTCGGGTAGCGTCTCGAGACATGGGCAATTCAAAGTTATCACGGAAGTTTTTTTCTTTCGCACGGCGTAGCCGTGATTTGGCGCCAAAGTTCGCATTCGCTCGATGCTAGGCGATCCCTCGCCATGGAACACGATGATGTCATAACGCCAACTGACATACTCAGAACGCCACCAAACTTCACGTGATGGTTAACACTGCGGCCTTGAACAGCTCTACGTCAAATGTGATGTTACTTAATATGGCGTTACCATGGCAACGCATCCCTCGCCATAAAACACGGTGTCGCTGTAACTCCAATGGACACGGTCCCATCGTCCCCCAATCTTCACTTTTATATCACCGGTGCATGCCTCAACAACTCTACGTGAAATCTGAGATCTCACCGTATGCCGTTTCCATGGCAACGCATCCCTCGCCATAAAACACAATGTTGTCTTAAATCAATGGAAAATGGTCCAAACGGCACGAGACTGCAGATGACAGTTAATGGTCCGGCCCTCAACACCTCAATATGACAATAGTGAGTTTTCGTCAAAAGCTGTTGCCATGGCAACGCATCCCTCGCCGTTAAGCACCATATTGCTTTAACTTCTGTGTAAATGGTAAAAAAGTGTTCAAATTTCACATGTGTGCTAACCGTCAAGCCCTCGAGACATATATGTGTCAGTTTTTAGATTCGTGAAATGTCGTTGCTATGGTAACAAAATGGTCGCCGTGAAACACGGTTTTCTCATAACTCCAGTTAACATGCTCCAAACGGCCCAAAACTTCACAGGTTTGATAACGATGCAGCCCTCAACACATCTAGGCGTATTATCGGGTGTCATCAAATTCCGTTGCCATGGCGACAGATCACTCGCCATCAAACACAATGTTTATGATACTGCTGTAACTCCTAAATACATTGTCCGATCGGCCTGAAACTTCCCACGTTTGCCAACGGCCGAGTCCTTGAGACACCTAGACACACACGTCGACGTGCGGACAACAGCCTGCGGAGCGTCGAAGACCCGCTCAACGCTGCTTGCAGCTTTAATTCTGTTTGTATTTGGTTAGTTTCTTGGTTACCTGGGATTGTTTTTTTCTAGTTGAATGCCTCCGGTGTTTCTGATTTGTATAAATACAAATACTTTGATCTTAAAAGTAAAAGTCCTGTTTTTAAAATATTACTTAAAGGTAGGGTAGGTAAGTTTGAGAAACCGGCTCGAGATCGCTAGAATTTGAAAATACACAACCGGAGAAAATCTGCCACTTCCTTACAGAGCCCCTCCTCCAACACACACGAACGCGCACATGACCAATGAGGGCACGAGATAAGTTTGTGCACAGATGGAAGGCTGACAGGCAGGTAGGCCATCCAGTTATTTTAGCCGGGCCGGCTAAAATGATTGGTTGTGCTTTTTACAGTACTACGGCTTCCACAAATGACATTTTTTAATGGATTTTTTGTCAAAGCACTTCAGATATGCATTGCTATCGGGATGTTAAGAGCATTCCATGGAATATAACAAAAAGTGTATCTCGAGCCGGTTTCTCAAACTTACCTACCCTACCTTTAAGTAAAAGTAAAAATGTGTCAGGATAAATTAAAGTACATAATGTAGAAAGTACTCTGCAATATGACCCATTTCAGAATAACAAACTACAGAAGTATTATCAGCTAAATGTACAATAAGTAAAAGTACTCGTTATGCACATTTCTTTTCTAAATATTGTATTATTATGGTTATTATTTTTGTTGTTAAAATAAAAACTCTGGACTGAACTTTGTGTGGAAACTTTATTTATAATTCATTACACAACGTCTGATATTTTACTGCAACACGGGTCAATAAAACACAACGTGGTGCATACATAAGCACAGTAGAGATGATGAAATGATAGACATATATATATATATAAAATATAACATGCATCATAATACAGCTCTGTAGTACAAACCTTTCTTTAATCAAATCAGTTTTTATTGATTCAGATGTTATCTCACAGCACTTTACATATACTATACCGTACTCTTTGTAGTTTATTACAATGATCATCATTTACCAAAAACCCCTGTTTTAGAGTCACTATCGCCCCTTTCACACCGGCGCTTTTTCCTGTTCACACCGTAGCGGCGCCGCGTCATAGCTCCGGAATGCGGTTCACTTCCAGCTCCAAAAAATTATCGGTCTAGAGGCAAGAGCTTCGGAGCTATGACGCCGCGTCGCTTACGTCTCTCTTACGTCGAGGCGTGCAGGAAACTAAACCCACCTCCCCTGAACATGGGTCGAATGAAGAGTCTCGTCATGCCTGCCTACAAGCAGTAGCGCTGAGCAAAGTGACTAGAAGGCAACCACACACATATAAAAAAAAAACACGCTTTATAAAGTCAGGCAACACTAACCAGGCTTCGTGTGATTCTGTTTATTTGTACCTTACTTTGACCATCCGTTCGCTGTTATTGATCACGATCATCGACCCGACGCAGTCCCCGGCCCGTTGTTGTTGTGGGAGAAAATCAGCGACGTAAACTGTGACGTCATGACGCAGCAGCGGCAGCTCTGGGCGGTGTGAACAGAGCGGGAGCTGAAAAGGGAAACCGGAGCTGAACCAGAAAAGCTCTCGCTCGGAGCTAGAAAGGGAAAAGCGTTGGTGTGAAAGCCGCATATGTGTCAGTCAGTGCTGGCTCTCATGGCTGCCCCTCCTCTTCCTCCTCCTCGAACTCAGATCCAGAGAGCAGTTTACAACCAAAGACTGAGGACGACACTGATGACTCTTCTGAACACACTGATGACTCTTCTGAACACAGTGCTGATTGGAAGGAGACCAGAGAACCTGCCTCAGGCTCAAAGTCACTGAAAAATAGACAAGAATCTGTCAGTGATCCACAACGTAGTGCTGAAAAGAAACCATTCAGCTGCTCAGTCTGTAAGAAAGCTTTTAGATATAGAAGAGATCTAAATCCACACAGGAGAGAAACCCTTTGGCTGCTCAGTTTGTGAGAAATTTGTGAATTTTTCACAGAATATACATTTATATATTTATAATTTATACGCTTTAATTTAAACCCCTGTTTTAGAGTCACTATGTGTCAGTCAGTGCTGGCTGTCATGGCTGAATGCATTAATTGTTAGCAAATACGCGTGTAAAAACTGTTACAAACGCACTTTTATGTCCGACATTAGTCATAGGCCTACTTCTGAGCTAACCGTGCTGTGTGTACCAGCAACGTGCAGTCAGGGGAGGCAGGAGAGGCAGAGCCTCACCTGTCATACTTCAATGTAACGGAAAAACAACTAAAGAAAAACTAAATAGTAATAATAATAAAATGTCTCCACTGATCTGTGTTGTAAGTGTGATTTATGTATGATTCCAATCGCTTTTTATAGCCCCCGCCTTGTCTCAGAGTTTGCATTAAGGCTCTTTGTTTACCAACATTAGAGGCAATTACAGTGACAATTCTTAAGCAAACCTCGGCAGCCTTTGTGCTAATTACTGTGTAATTGATGGGGAAACGACAAGCAGTTTAGCCACAATGCACTACTGGGCCACTGCAAATTTTTCTGAATTTGGACCATGTCCTATTATCCGGTCCGCTATGAAGTAAGCAGATTAGTCAGGGAGGAAGTTATTAATTAAAGCAGTACTGGGAGAGAACAATGCTACAGCACATGTCTTTTCGACCCAGGAATGAGTGCTCAAAACTTGGGTAAAAGTGTGTTAAAAAGTGGGGGAACATGTTTCAAATGACAGCAGACTGCTGCTTGTTGGCAGGCTGACTCAGTTCACTTGTCTCACACACACCCAGGGGGGAAAAGATAACACTTGTACCCAGGAATAAGTGTTTGAAATAGTATAATACCTCCAGGGCGCATAACTGCACTTTACAAGCCAGAAATAATGTTTAAATGGTCGG